AACTCTGGAGGCTGAGTAAGGAGGACCACAGTTTAAGACCAATCTGGGCAAGGTAGGGAGATCCTGTCTTAAAATAAAAAATAAAATAAAAAGTGCTGGGGATATAGCTCAATGGCAGAGTGCCCTCGGGTTTTATCCCCAGTACCTCCCCCCCACACACACACAAAATACAAGTAACCAACTGTGCATATTATCACCCATGCTTGCCTCTGCAGCCTCATCTCACCACTTCCTCCAGCCATTGATTTTTATACCACAAGCACCCAAACCTCTTTCTGCTCATCAAATCCCAACATCTCCTTTCTTTCCTTACTTCTTCCACTGCTAGAACATACCAGCACTCACCACCATTATCACTTCCCTGTTAGCTATATTCATTGCTCTATCACCATCATATACGGTGGTATCTGGCAGAGCCAGAAGCAAGAAGAATGTGCTGGATACAAGCACATTTAGGATGCCGAGGGCCTCTGCTGTTTCCTTTGCCCATCTGCTCTTTGTTTCTGCCATGATCCTCATTGTTGTTCCTCCTCCCTCCCTTGGCCTTTCCATCACCTTTTGCTGTGATTTGGATCTGGCATGTCCCCCAAAAGCTCGTGGGTTGAAAGCTTGATCCCCACTGCAGCAATTCCAAGAAGTGGTGCTTGAGGAAGTAATTGGATCACAAGGGCACTGACCTCATGAGTGGATTAAGCCATTGATAGCTGAATGGACTACTGGAAGGTAATGGAAACTATAGGCAGGTGGGGCATAGTTGGAGGAAGTAGGTTACTGGGAATGTACCGTTAGGGACTATATCTTGTTGCTGGCCCCTTGTTCTCTCTCTCTCTCTCGCTCTCTCTCTCTCTCTCTCTCTCTCTCTCTCTCTCTCTCTCATTCCTGGCTATCATGAGCTAAGCAGCTTTCCTCTGCCACACCCTTCCACCATGATGTTCTGCCTTACCTCAGCCCCAAAGTAACAGAATCAGCCAACCATTCACTGGGATCTCTGAAACCAGGAACCAAAATAAATCTTTCATTCTTTAATTTGTTTATGTCAGGTATTTTGGTCACAGCAATGAAAAGCCATCTAACACACCCCTTTACAGAAACTCACCTCCTATCTACAACCTCATAGCTACTGAAGTTGTCAGCTTCAGAAAGAAGCACTACCATGTCCATATGAGTATATCCCCTAAATTATTCACCAGCAGGGTGACAACTGTTTCCCTTCATCCTGAGGATCCTGGGATGGGCCCAAGTCCTTCCTAGAGGTAGAGAGAATATCTCACTGACAGAAGTAGGCTTCTTTTCAACCCAAGATTCAAAATCTTTCAACATCAGGGACCTCTCAACAGACAGAACCTAGCCGAAAACTTCACAATCACCCTGCCCACAAAGGAAAACATCACTATGCTAACAAGATGGGTTAGCAAGAGTTGTGACAAACTTCATATATTAAATGTTATGACTAAACTTGCTACTAAGAAAACAAATGGCAAATTATTCTATAAAATAGATATCTGGCTTAAATTTTAATCTCGAGTAAATACAAATTTTCATATACAAAATGACATTAATAATGAAAAACAAGAGCTATTATTTATCTATTTACTGAAATCTATTGAGAATCCAACAATATGCTCAAAGTTCAAATACTTTCTTCTTTACCACCATTCCATGAAGCGTGAATGGTTATTATCCCCATTTCACAGAGAGGAAACCAAGCCTAAAATAAGTCTAAGAGAAAGCTAAGATCTAAAATCACAAGCCTCCACATGACCAACCCCTAGTGCTTTTCTGTTATGTTTTGCTATTTAGAGAGCTTTTTCATCTAAGAAGTCAGAGACATGGACATGTCCAGAGAGACAGACCCTTGGAGGGGGACCTCAAAGGCTGAGATTTTCTTCAGCAATGTAGACGCTGAAAGGAAAGTAACCTCCTACATCTTATATTTCAAAGCTGCATTTCTACATTAAAAGAGAAAACTGAAATTCAAGGAAAAGATGTGGGAAGAGAGCTCAAGGGTGCTTATGAATGCAATTCCACAAATACATTTTCAGTATCTTCTAGTGGTCAGGCAGTGTGCTGGAAGCTGAGTTATCATTGTCACTTAGTAGAATGCTGGGTGACACGGCTTGATGGGGAGAATTCTTGCATAGTGAATCTTTCAGGAATGTTTAGTCAATAATTTACACAACTGTTATGTTATTATCTAATTATGTAGAAATCATCATTCATAAAGGAAAAGTGAGAGTTACTAGCTTATTATCTGTGAATACATAATTGAAGGGCATATGTATGTTTTAAAATCAAAGTTTTGTATGATTCAAATACCTCTTGTACATTTCTGATACCTTATATCAGAGGGTTAGATTTTAATATCTGTGAATGCAAATACAGTATCAGATTGTGTTATCAAGTATCTGAAAGAACAAAATGGAAAAATATGGACAGCCAATACAAGGCTAATTCCCAAAACAGAAATGGAACATATTGAAGCTGCATGTACATACAATTAAAGATAAGGATATATAAACATGTCCTAAAGCAGTCCACCAAATATTTACAGAATGAGGCTCAGACAAGGATATCAAGCAGAAGACAGTATGACCCTGGAAAGGTCACACACCATTCTGTGAAGCCTCCAGAAACCTGCCTCCTTTGAAACAGGATGCTTTTGACACAAGAGCATGAGAGGAAGACTGTATATCACTCCCCTAATTTATAAAATGAAAGAGATAGATGATTTATAAGTTCCTTTCAGCTCTAACCCAGTAAATAGTTTTCACCTCTGTGGCCCTTACACCTCAAGAGACATGAGTATATAAAGATGCTCAAAAGACATTTGTTGAGTTAATGAATTATTACAACCTTACCAATACTAAGAAAAGGGACTTTACAAAATTGGCCCAGTCTGTGGCATAGAAAGAGCAAATTAGTGGGAAAACAATTATCTAAACAATTGCACATGTGGTGCTTCTGCTTGCTGACTGCTGGCAAGAGGAAAATAACCCTGGACTTGGAAATAAGATGCGTGGTCTAGTCTCTGAAACAAACCAACCGTGTGACCTTGGACAAACTGCATTACCACCTGGGCCAGTTTCCCCATCTCTAAAATAAAGGTATTATGAGGCTATATATAGCTAACATTCGTGGAACCTTTACTATATGCCAGGAACTGTTCCAAGATCTTTGCCTTAGACTTAAATGATTTCAAAAGTTTTAAAAGCACTAATGTTTACTGTCTAACTACAGAGGTAAAAAGGTTGGGCTCTCTCTCAGCTCTGAAAGGTGGGGTCTTTTTCTAAGCAGAGATTGTGAAGCACAAGTGGCTACAATTCCAGTACTTCTATTCACTGGCTGGGTTAACATTCTGAATGAGTTGCTTAACCTTCCTGACTTTATTTTCTAATCTGTAAAATAGTTCGTTCTTTCTTTCATATAGCTTTTTAAAGGACTGTTATAATAAATGTAATATATATTTAGTAAAATACATATTACTTTTTATTACTAGCTGTGTAACCACGGGCAAACCATCTTCTGCATTTTCTCATATACAAATGGGAGATGCAGTGTTATTAAAAAGAGATCATGTGAACACGCTCTGTAAATTATTGTTCGCTGTTTTTGAAAGAAACGCACATTCTCTAATACTTAGAACACATTATACAATCCTATATCTCATACGCGTAAAAGTATAGATAACCAACAGTAAGAAAAACAAAGAACAAAAATCTTTACTAAACATTTCTCTCTAGTCCCGGCTCAAGCCGACTGGACTCAGACCACGGCAACCAAGAATGCAGAAACACTTGGGAGTTGTAGTTCTGAACGACAGGGCTGCTACACCGAGCGGCTGAAAAAGACTCCAATTCCCAGGAGACACCTCGCCACGCCAAATGGCACGTAGGGAGGTAAAGTACCAGATAGTTTGGACACAAGAGGCAGGACTCCAATTCCCAAAAGCCTTCGCTGCACACACTTCAGGTCATAACATGGAGCGGAAGAGGAACTTTTAGGCACACCTGGCTTAACCACAGGTGAGAGTTTCCACCGTTCTCTGTATTCTAGTCCTGGCCCAGCTGGGGTCAGAGCCTTTCTTTAAAAAAAAAAAAAAAAGGGGTGAGGGGCGATGTATTTTCCACTGGCCCGCAGCACATTTCTGAGAAATCCAGAATAATAATACCAGTTAGCTTGCAAATGGCAAACTTTCACCAACAAGACCTCAATTTAGATTTCGGCTTCAGACAGCATCCTTGGGCCACTTGAGCACTAAGCCCCCGCCCCCCCAGATTAGCACTGTGAGAGGCAGGTCCAAGGTGACACAGCAGAGGCAGAATCTGAACCTACCAGAGGAAGCTGCAAATACAGCTCAAGTTAGTCACTAAGTTGCGGGAGTCCCTTCCACAGCCCCCCAAATATGGATATACCTTTGAAATTCCTATATATTAATCTAAAAATCAAAACCGCAAACATAAAATATAAGTACTGATGAGTTCTCACACAACTAACAAGATGCTTTTTTTTTTTTTGGGGGGGGGTCTTTTAAATATCAAATGAGCATTTTTCTCCCCCAAATACTGACTTCTACATGCCCTGCTTTGCTCCTGTCTGGGCACCTCTTCAGAGCTTCTTTGGGGGACCCTAGAGTTACGTGTTTAACACAGAACTGTAGGGGCAGGGATTCCTGCTACTTATCTATGACACCGACAAACACTGGATCCAACAGAGAGGCCAGAACCGACTACAGCACAGGTGGCAAAGTAGGTCGGCTGGAGCGACCCCATACCTCAGTTTCCCCACTTATAAAAGGCAAAGGGTGCTGAAGAATTGAGGGGCCTGAGTCCCAAACCCGAGATGTCTCAGCTGGTGGGAGGGTCCTGCGGACAGAGCCTACCGCTCGCGCTAGCCCAGTCCCCGCCCCACTGGGCAGCGGGGGGTCGTGACTCGACGCACGTGGAAATCCAGAACCGCATCCCAGGTACACTGTTCCACTCAGGCTCGCCCCACGCCCCTACCTTCCAAGGTCTTGGCAGCTGGGAATGAAAGAGGGAAGGAGCGCGGGGCTGGAGCGCTACCCGAGCGTGTGCCCACTGGGATGGCCTCCAGAGGGACTTGGGGGTCTGAGTGCAAAAACTCTCTGACAGGGACACAGCAGGCTGGGACTGCAATTCCCAAATGGCCTCACGGTAGGGGCGGGACCCAAGATGGCCGCTCATCTGGAGACAGGTACAGCGACCAATAGGCGCAGAGCACGCGCCTACACTGGGCCAATCGGAAGCCAGTAGGTAGGAACCCTAATTATTTTTTCACGAAAGAGCAGTTGAGTGAGAATCTCAGAAAGGGATTTTTTGTCACAAATCGCACAATCCTTGGCCTTGTCCAAATGAAATAATAAACATGACCTTTTTCACGTGAAACGAAAGCCCGCGCTGTGTTTTTGCTTCCCTCTTTCCTCCTAAAATGCGTTTTCTTGCTCCCTCACAACTCCCTTCTGACTGGATCGCCTTTCACTGCCTTTCCCCACTCCCCACTCTGAATCCTTTCTTTTCTTTCCTTTCTTTGTTTTTCTTCCCTGTGTTGGGAATTGATCCCAGGGGCGCTCACCCCTAGCCCTTCATATTTTTGAGACAGGGTCTACCTGAGTTGCCCAGGCCGGCCTGGAACTTGCGATCCTCCTACCTCAGCTTCTGGAATTGCTTTTATCTTTCCTGATTCCTCAAGCCTTCCTCTCTTTATATTTCTATCAAAATACAAGCCCAGAGTTCCTTACGTTGATCCAGTTTAGGATTACACTTTTCCCTCCCTGACATCCCATCAAAATTGCACCACAGTCTCCCTACTTCTCTTCCTTCCCCCCTTTTTAGTGCGATTTTTTTCTCCTTAGCACTTGTCACTACCAAGCACATTGAAATTTGTTTACTTATATCTTTTATTGCCTTACTTGTCCCCTAAAATGCAAGATCTATGTAGATGTGGATTTTGTTTCTTTAAGGTATTTCCAGTACCTAGAAAAGTGCCTGACACACAGTAAATATCTTTTGAATAATTGAAATCTAGAGGTGACCCTTCTCCTCTGATGCAGATCAATTAAATTCATCTCTGACCACCATGGATCCCTAGTACTGGCTCTGTTTTTTAATTTAAAAAAATTTTTTTTCAGTATATTCTGTACCTAGTGTCATGTGGATGTGGGAGAAATCACTGATTCAATACCAATTCCTAACCTCAACATTTTCTGGGTCTGGTGGTGTATGAGAAGTAAACTTAATTTTGCAGTAAATGCAATTGCAAATTGCAGAGCAGGTAAATAACTGTCACAGCAGGGACTAGAATCTGGCCTTCAGACTCTTTGCCACTACTAGCCATCACTTCTTAAAAGACACCCCTTCCTTTTCTCCCATCCCCCCTTGCCAATCCTATTTATAAGGAAGAAGAGACATTTGCAAGTCATCTTTTCCATTTTAAAAGGGGAAAACAAAGCGCAATTATACTGGACAAACACTGACATGTGTCCCTACTTTCCCTAGTACAATATTCATTTTATTCTCTTTTTTTTTCTCTTACTTTTTTCTTTGACCTGATTCATTACATGCAGGTGATTACACCAAGTCTTAGATCTCTCTTCCTTTCTGATGTTTGAACCCCACAGAGAGTAGCAAGGTGTCCTACAAAGCATCATGGTGTGAAATACTGATGTCCTTGGAAGCTTGACTCTCAGAGAATGTCACACTGGATTATAGTCAGAATGTGCATATAACACAGAGACACTCTGGGCACATAAAATATTAGAGAATTGTGAATAATAAGATGAAACTGAAAACAATTATAGTTAAAACAGCAGGAATGTGATCAATATATATATGCAGACTAATTTTGTGCCTAGAGATTAAAACACCCACCCCCTTCAGGCTTCCTAGCTTAATCTTCTGTCAATTTGGGGTTCTTTCCTCCATACAGCAATTCTTTCTTGCTTTTACAAGCACAGACTTAGCTCAGCAGTCCCAGCTTTTCTCAAGCTTATCGGCATGTGAGATTTCAACACTTGTGTCAGCAGCCAGACTAAACATGGAAGAAAATCGCTGAACCATTTGAAACTGGAAAGCTCAACAACTAGACTCTCCTCCTGAGGAAATTTACCAGCTTATATCATTATATCTTCTACTTCATGGTTAAAAGGCAAATATCATCACAGTACTCAGGATCTAAACAGTGCTATCCAAAGATTGTTACAACATCGTCAGACCCTGTAATGAGCACATAGGTATTACTTGGCTGTGGATGTTGCTAACTGCTGGGCTGAATGTCAACTGTGGTCTTCAGCAACACATGCATTTACAAAGAACATTAAGACATGGAACTTGGGCTGCGGTTGTGGCTCAGTGGTAGAGCACTCACCTAGCACTGGGTTCAGTCCTCAGCACCACATAAGAAGAAATAAATTAAATAAAGGTATGTGTCCATCTACAACTAAAAAAATTTTTAAAAGACATGGAACTTCCCATGAACCAGACTCCAAGTATCAAAACAATCTAATTTACAACTTGAATGAATAATCATATTACTTTGGGTTTTCCCAGAAGCAGATCCTGAGACAGATAACCAAGTACAAATAGTTTATTTCAGAGGTAAGTGCAGGAAATAACCAATAAGAGAGTAGCAAAGGAAAATAGGCCAAAAAAAAAAAAAAGCCAATCCAGTTTGTACTAGCAGGAACAATTATAGCTTAATAATTCTAGGGAATTCTGGGAAGCAATATGGAACACATACATGTCTTATTCTGGAAATGAGTTATCTCACCAAGGAGAAAAGACAAATTAGTTGTTTAAACATAAATTCCCAATCAGTCAATGGGGGCTATTTTCAGGGACTATTAAAATTCCTGAATTGTCTGCCATGGATAAGTAGGTGAAGATACCTCAGTGGCCAAACACAGGCAGAATTAGAAGTACTGCCATTGGAAGTCAGGCTGGCATGCACTTAAATGGTAAGAAAAGGGTACTGACAGGCACCACTATCTACTACAGATGGCTTTGATTCACCACAAGCTCACATCACTGATAATCCAAAAATTAAGTAGATATATACAAAAATAAAGAAACCAAGATGGCTACCACCTTGTATCATCATCATGTGTGAGATCATATTTGTAAATCTTCATTAAGACGTATAAACAGGGCTGGGGTTGTGGCTTGGTGGTAGAGCACTTGCCTAGCATGTGTGAGGCACTGGGTTTGATTCTCAGCACCACATATAAACAAATAAATGAATAAAAAATAAAGGTTCATCGACAACAATAACAAAAAATTTAAAAAGACATACAAAAACAAAAGCCACATTTGTACGGAGAAATAGGAACTCTTTGAGGACAGGAGGAGGCATTGGGGGATTGGGGTGAGATAGGGCAGGGAGGAGGAAGGTCAAGAAAAGAGGGGCATGGTGCAGTGGTGCACGCCTGTAATCCCAGCAGCTGCCGAGGCTGAGACCGGAGGATTTCGGGTTCAAGGCCAGACTCAGCAATGGCGAGGCACTAAGCAACTCAGTGAGACCCTGTCTCTAAATAAAATACAAAATAGGTCTGGGGAGGTGGTTTAGTGGTCGTGCTCCTAAGTTCAATCCCCAGTACCCATCCACTGTCCCCCCCCCAAAAAAAAAGAAAGAAAAGAGGAAAGGGGAATTTTTTTAAAATGTATTTATTTTTTTTAGAAGTAGTTGGACACAATACCTTTATTTCATTTATTTATTTTTATGTGGTGCTGAGGATGGAACCCAAGGCCTCACACATGCTAGACGAGCGCTCTGTCCCTGAGCCACAATCCCAGCCCCAGAAAGGGGAATTTAAAGAAACTATTGTTGAAGACAATGTGTTTTTTATTTCATGATCTTGCAGAAGCACAAGTAAAGGGCTCAAATATTTTGAGAAAGTAGTACAAAGATATAGTCAGTCTTTGGGCCTAGAAGACAATTTTGTGAAAGACCTTTTCTGTAATTTGGCCATGATAGCACTACAAGTAAATAGCATTACTTGAAATTATAGTCACTATATAGTTGTCTTTTTATCATCTGTCTCCTCCAAATAAAATGTAAGCTTCATGAAGGCAAGAACTTTGTTTTTATCTTATTCAATAATAAGCACTTGTCTGGGTATAGTGGTGCATGCCTGCAATCCCAGAGACTTACTCAGAAGGTCCTGCTGGGAAACTTAGACAGACTGTCTCAAAATAAAAAATAAAATGCCTTATAGTTGTAGCTCAGTGGTACAAAACCCCTGGGTTCAATCCCCAGGACTTCAAAAAATTAAATAAAATAAAAATAAGCACTTAATAAATATACTTCAATGAATGCCTATGTTATGGCCACAGATAAAACAGAAGAGTCTGGCATTTGGGCTCTTGTAACATTTCTATTTTAATACTTATTTCTTAGTTTTAGGAAGACATGATATCTTTATTTTATTTTTATGTGGTGCTGAGAATCGAACCCAGTACCTCATGTGTGTTAGGCAAGCGCTCTACCACTTGAGCCAAAACCCCAGCCCTCTTGTAACATTTAACTAAGTCATAAAGAGGTACAGTAACCTTGCAATAACCTGCCATTATCCCAAAGCACAAGACCATCCTTATTTGTGGAAAGCCTGGTGGTCACATACTGTTTAACTTTAGTGAAACAACCCCAACAGCAAACTCTTCAAACCCTCAGGACCCACCAGGAAATCTCTACTATGGAAACAATTTCAAAACAAGAAAGGCCTTAACAATCAAAGAGTTCAACCCTCTGCATAATTCATCTCAGCCATATGTTACAGGTCATAAACTAGACTTTCAGTCAAGAATCTTGGGGGGATTTATTTGGAAAAACATCATATCTAATATGAAAATGCTATATTGGAAAAAGGAAAAGCAATACATTGTTTTTACAACACAAAGTATAGAAAGGTTGGGAAACTCAGCTGTTTCCACATTGCTCCAGTCGTCATCCCAGATTTCTCAGCACATAATCGTTTAATTGTTTGGACATGGAATATTCTAGATGCTAGTAAGAGCAAGAGCCATCTTACGATATGCTAAAATTCTCAACATTTCTGCCTACTACTTTTTTTTATTCTCTCGCCTTATTTTCCCTTTGTTGCTCCATGTTAAATGTATTCCTTGGGTAGATTTGTTCATCAGATATTTAGAGATCAGTCTA